GCATCTTGTGCTTATTTCCTTGCATACCGATGACAGCTGCGTATGTCTTAATTTATTTTCTGGTGCTTTCACTTCCAGAGACAGTTGTAAGCACTGTGTAACTGCCTCGAGGGGGCTTGACGATTTTAACACAACGGGGGGCGATCATTCCCCTTGCGCGGAGCGAGGGTTCTCCACCCCGCACGACATGATCTACTCGACCACCATAATGATTACCGCCAAAAAAAAAAGAGGTGAAGGAAAAAAAACGTTAACCTGGTTGCCAGGTTCACGAAGTGAATTGGCTTGTTTTGTTTTACAACGTCGTTGCCAAGCGACGAAAACCCCATCCCGATGGAAAACACCGAGGGGGGGGACGGATTTTTCGTGTCCCCTGTATCGCTTTGTCCCCATGCCATTGGAACAAGCTACAAATATAGGGATTTTGTTTCCGGAACAGCGGTCAAAAAAGCACTCAAATTGGCCAATATATGGGCAAATCCCCGTTTTGTCCCCGGGCGGGGGAACGGAAATTTCGTGTCCCCTGCTTCGCTTTTTCCTATACATTGAGTAAGATGAATCACCAACTTTCGCTGAAAACCCACCTTCCCGACCCCGGATAAAAAATCTGAGACCGGATATCGCATGTACACACCCAGAGCAACCCACAGTTGACTTCAGAGCTTCGGCGGTTTGGCAACAACTCCAATCTCAACCTCACTTCGGCATACGCCGGAAGGCCACCGTGACACATATGCGCCGGTCGCCCCGGTGGTCTAGTGGGTAGCCTCGCAGCCTGCTAAGGGCCAGGTCATGGGTTCGAGTCCCGGCAGAGTGAGTATTTTCTCGCTTATTACATCCTGGTCTCCGTTGGAAGCGACGCGCTGCAAAGCTCGTTGTTAGTAAACTTGATCGACTTTTAAAGTCGCGAGGGAAGGGATTGCTGTACCCTTCTCGCGATAGAAATTTCTCAGGCAGGAACCGCAGGAGGGGCTCCAACCCCCCCCCTCCTATGTGACCCCGGTTGGGTCGACTAGCTGGTAGAAGTGGAGGATAGGGAGGGGTAAGAGGAGCAGACGACAGAGTCCAATGATGGGAGAAAAATAAATATATGTATATATATATGTACAAGGGTCTCCGGACGTGGGGGGCCTATCGGCCCCCCCGTCTTCTGGGTTGCTGTGTCTAGGTGATGGTGGAAGGGAAGTGGTGTGGATGGTGGGTGAGGCTGGATACTACCAAGGGCGGGAGGGAGTGTTGTAATTGATGGGAAGGACGAGTGTCGCATGACCGAGGGGACCGATGGAGGAACACAAAATATGTATTAGATAGGAACGCCGAGACTTCGCAGGAAGTACTCAAAACAAATGAAAAATCAGATTTGACTACTTACAAACGAATGTACAGTAGCAATAGGTGCGCATGGTAAGACAACGCAAGCCCAGAACTACAGGAGGAAAAGATGACGCAGTACAATACGTGCAAGAACCTGGAAAAAGGCGCAAGAAGAAAAAAAAACGGTTGTGCCTACTTAAAAAATGAAGACACGGTCGCCGGATGCATCGCAACCCACGCGCCAACTCCCGGTAGCGGGATGCAACTCGGAGGGTAGCGGCTGCTGTGTTGAAGTGTGCGCGTGTGAGCGTGGCGCGGGTGTGGTGAGGAGACTAAAACGAATCTTTACTTCCAGAAGTTTGGGCGAAGTTTTGACCCAACTAAGGATCCAGAACCCACAGCAGCAGAGAGGGCTACACGCTCCCGGCTTCGTTGAGCGGCTTCGTTGAGCTGCTCTGGTGTGGTTGTGTATATGCGTGTATGCTGCTGCTGCAAGCTGCTTGTGTGCTTGTGTGGGCAGCAGCTGTGAGGAGCCGAGGGAGCCACCCGAAGGTGACAGTCTCACACCTCTACAGTGGGGTCAGCCCACTATAAAGGGGCCGGTCTCTATAGATGAGGGTAGCCCTCTATTATAGCGGGTCGCGCCCATGCCAACCGATTTTGACCCGCTTATAACGGAACCCCCTCTTACTCGGTGCCCTGTTATATCGGAACACTGCTGTTCTGTGTGGCCGCCTGAGGGTCAGATCCCACGTGAATATCCACATCTTCACCCGATCCTATTCATGAACAACACATAGCTGCCGTATCTGGAGCGGCGTGCTTTTGGGGTCCCTTCGCCGGTTCACATTTTCTCAAAAAACGTGCCAACAAAGCCCTCCGAGCTTCCGGGACCGCGTTGTTCCAGTCTCTGTTCAGACGCTGATCCATCGTCTGCAAAACATTTATGGCATATGCATATGAAATGTTTGGTTGGATCCCGTCTCTTGCCTGCACCCCGCGTCCGGATAGCAGCGTACGATTTGGTTCTGGAAGCGTACATTGTACAAATCACGGCAGGCGCGTACGTACCTGTTCTTTGAGCCCGGCGTGTTTTGTGCCGCCTCACAGGTTGAATCAGTTGAACGCACCGGTGGTCCGAAGAACTTTTCTAACGACCAGTCGAAGAGAAAGCCAATCAGAGCGCCCAAAGAGGACTCATCTTAACGTGTCAGGTTACCTGCCACGCAGAGGGCGCATCTAGACCTCGAGCAATACACGTACTTTTGCCTTTGCCAAGTTCAAGGAGACACGTGTGCATGGCAGTACCGGCGACAGGCGAAGGACGCAAAGATCAGATGGACGCCCCCGCGAAGCGAACAGAGCAGCCGGGCCCGTCTTCGCCGAATGGCGGTAGGGTGGCATCATCAGCAGACTCGAATTTCGCGTTCCCCAGCTACGCGCCAGGTGAGGACGAGACCGCCCTCTGGTTGGGGGAGGGCGACGGGGGCGTGGGCGGCGACGGGGGAGGCTTGATGGCGCCCCTCGAGCCTGTCGGGGCTCTCATGAGCGCGGGAGGGGGTTGGAGCTTCTCCACGCTACCGGGGGACGAGGGCCTGCGGTGGAGCGGCGTGAAAACGGAGCAGGTTTTTGACGAGTGGGCGGCTTCCGGGAGAGGAAAACATCAGGCCGCCATGATGCAGCCTTCGCTGCTTCTGACATCAACAGCAGCAGGGGGAGACAACGGCAGTACCAAGGGTGGAGGCAGCCTGGCCAAGTCGGACGCGGAGGAGGGCTGGAAGACTTTCGTCGGCCCCGCCCCCACCCCTTCTTGTTCCAACGCAACGAAGCCCCACGGCGGCGAAATGGACAACTCCTGTAATTTTCCACCGTCATCACGCCGTCAGCAGCTGGCAACAGTTGCAACAAAAGGTGTGTGTCTAATGTTCGGCAGTAGCACCCTCTGGTTGTGTCGCCCGCCTTATAGTGGAGCAATGCCTTGGAGAAACTATCTCGTTCTTACTTCAGTGAATCAGGGCTTCCTCAAGCTGCACCCGGAGTGCGGATCCCTATTCCCGCTTGATCCTGTTCAAGATGCAAATCTGCTCGGGCTCTCAAAATTTCTAGACTTCGTTGTTTCAGTGCAAAAGGACGGTACATGTGGCAGGATAGAAGCGTGTCGCTTCAGAAAAGCGGCAGTTTGCGTGCGTGCCTACATAAACATATCTCAGGCAGGAACGGCAGGAGGGGGTCCAACCCCACCCTCTTACGTGACCCCGGTTGGGCCGACTAGCTGGTAGAAGTGGAGGATAGGGACCAGAGGGGCCGACGACAGAGTCTAATGATGGGAGACCAAAAAAAAAAAAAAGCGTTGGTGTGTTGTTGGTTTTTGCTCTTTGCTTCACAGCAGTGCTGCTGTTGCAGAACAAGAACTCGAAAGAAATCACACTTGAGTTAGCGAGAAGTCATTGGTGCTACGGTGCTCTTCCAGCTGTGGGGGTGGTGCTTATCCCATCAACACTTTCCATGCTGCTGCTACACTGCTGCTGCTGCTCTGCGCTGCCGCTGCGATGTACTTCGTAGTTTGTATGCATCATTTCCCTGAAAACGAAATTCCTTTTTTCTTGTCTGGTAAATACGTGCAACCGACTCGCTGTTAGGCCCTTGGCCGGGGCGTTGTGCCGCAAGTTCCAAGAGAAATCCTTCCTCGCAGCCTCTAGCACGTGTGTGTGGTCTTATTATCTCAAATGGGTAGTCTCTCTGTGTTTGTATTTATGTTTCCTGGCATGTAACTTCTATCATACACCGGACGGTTTCGACATGATCAGCTTCGTATATTTCTTGCCGCGGCGTGGGGAAGGAAGCCAGAAGACATACTTCTATTTTCGGGCGGAAAAAAGTCAATTACCACCCACAACATTGCCGTTACACATTAGTATCTATCTTGCATACGCGTCTGCTGCCTGCTTGCAGATGATGGCATCTATTGCTGTAGGTACATGTACTGATACCAAGCGGGAACTCAGAATCGAAAATGCAGTGATCGGATCTTCCTATTTCGCGATCATCATTGCTGCAGTCAGTGTGTCGGTTTCCGGCCGCAGTGATGTCAGAGAGTAATGGTTGGTGTAAAGTGCCCCTGTGATATACGTCGTGTTGATGCGATATGTATACTAACGGTGTTTTCTTCTCTTTCAGCAGCAGTGCATACATTTGCTACAATTCCAGCGTAAAATCGCGATGAATACACAGGTGTGTGCTTCTGCTCCCGAATTTGGCCTTTGTTTTACGTCGTGGTCCCCCACTACGTCATGATGCCACCCCGAGCGTACATTTAGTCTCGTCTTGGTTTAAACCTTGTAGCGTAGCGCGTCCGTCTGAGCCGCTCTGGAGACTGCACCGTGTCTGCTAGTATAGCATTACTACTGCCAACACCCCGTAGGCTTGACAGCGGATCGATCGCCCCTTGGCCTGACGGGAGCACAGCCGCAGTGTGGACTGCTGTTGCCACGTGGTCGATCGCCCCTGCTCCTCCTTGTCCCCGTTGAAACGATTTCGCACGTGCCGGTGCTGTACGGTTCAGTCCCGCTCCGCAAACCCCCAAACTCCTCCGGTTACTATTGCACACTTTATTATCGCTCAAAGCACCGAAGCCCAAGGGATTCTTAGGGATTTTGCCATTCGCTGCGCTGAAATACCTCCCAAAAACATGACAGCACCATGTTGGTGTTGACGATATTGTCCTCTATAGGAACAGCAGTTGTCTAGTGGCGCGGCGCCCCCTGAGATGGTCGTGGAGCTTCATGCGGCCTCGTGGGTGCGCCCCAGAGAGGGCGCAATCACGAGGCGGAAGGATGAGAGTAGTAGGCAGAGGGTAACGAAAGAGGTCTGTTCGCTCACCACATGTGTTGCTCCTCGGCACAGCACCTGACAATACGCTGTTGCAGACTATCAAAACGTCCAAAAGGCCCGTCACCCCACACACCCCGCCTCACTCCCTCCGCCGATTTCAACGAACCGTTTGGAGAACACCGCTCACTTGCTCTTCTTTGAGCTGGCCATGGCGGAGTTGAATGGCGGTAGGCCTTGAGCTGGGAGCTGGGAGCCCCTGACGTGTGATATGTCGTTCGTTGGGCCTCTGTTTCGAGCGGCCACGTTTGTGTTGTGGGAGGAAAAATGGACCTCCCGGAAAGGAATCTCACGCGTTCCAACAGTATACGCGGCACGCACACTTTGCCAGGGTCAGGCTACCGCCAGCAATCAAACATGGAAGTGATTAGCTCAGAGATGTGCAGGGGGCATCTGTCTCCAAGAGGGTTCGCGGCGATATGCGTTTACAGCAGCGTGATTTGATCAATTTCAGGTGCTTGTCAGACGGCAAGACAGCCACTTTCCGTCGTTTTATCTCATCCCTGTCCTCCTCTCCGCCCCGTCATTATCCGACGCTCCAGGCATGGCCGAGGTCCGACCCACCGCCAACCACTGCGCAAGCTCGTCCACCAAGGACAACATTGCGGCGTTTGCCAAGCAGCGTTCTTCTTCCGCCGCCGCGCGGGCCCCCGCCGCCGAATTAACGACCACTACGCCGCCAGCACCACCACCGCCAACGCGGGACGCATCATCCCCCACCTCCGCGACGGCGGTGACAAGACGCACGCGCAAGGCCACCGCCGCCGCCGCTGCTGCCGCCGCCGCCGCTGCCGCTGCCGCCGACAGCTTGGGCGAGGCTGAACAACCGGCCAACGAGGACAAGGAAGATAACAACGACGACGATGACGACGACAACGACGTCGATGGCGCCGGCGCCCGCGCCGTCAGTAGAAATAGCTGCCGCGCACCCGCCGCCAAACCCAAGCGCGCGACGACGAAGGACCAGAGCTACGACGAGGACGACCTCGACGCGGACGACGACGACCCGGCCGGGACCGAGCTAACCGACAAGCGGCGGCGCAACCGCGAGCATGCCAAGCGCAGCCGCCTCCGGAAACGGGTCCGCCTCGGGGGCCTGGAGGAGCTGTTGCTGGGCCTACGCAGGGAGAACGTCCGCCTCCGGAAGGTGATCATGCGCGGCATCCCGGACCGCGCCGGCGCCATCATCCGCAACTGCACCAAGGACAACACCAACGCCGACGTCGTCGCCAAGCAGGACGTGATCCAGGGCATGCGGCCCGGCATGTCGGTGGGGTCCTCCTCCTCGAGTTGGACCGCTCGCGGCGGGACGCGAACGCGGCCGAAGCCCGCCGGGGGCAGCGGCGGCAGCGGAAAGGGCCGTTACGTGCCGTCGGCCCTCAAGCTCATGTCGCCCTGCTACCAGACCGTGAAGGCCCTGGCAGACAGCCAGGCGAACTTCGTCCTCACGAACCCAAACCTCCCGGACTGCCCGATCATCTTCGCGAGCCAGGGCTTCCTCGACCTGACGGGGTACGACGGCAACGACGTGATCGGCAAGAACTGCCGCTTCCTCCAGGGCCCCGGGACCGACCCGGTGACGCTGTCCATCATCCGGAACAACGTCGCCGCCGGCCTGGACACGAGCGTCTGCATCCTCAACTATAAGAAGGACAAGACGCAGTTCTGGTGAGTCGTGTAGCACCTTTCTCTTTCTCAAACCACCGCCCCGCTGCCGCAAGGAATTCGACACACGTGCGTGTCTGCGCCGGCCGACCAACATATTTGTTTTGCCAACGTGTTGTTAGTAGCATGTGTGAGTTGTGTGGTCTTTGGTTGACGCCGTTGTTCACCGCTGCTCCTGTGCGTTCGTGTTGGTTGTGCGCTCGCCGCACGCGAGAGATGCCTCGTCGAATCCTCGCGGCTTCTTGACTGATAATATATCGTCTCACTTTGCCCCGAATTCGCTGTCTTCTGCCCGCTTTTGCCTTCCCTCGAATATCCTCTCCTGTGCCCCTTCCAGGAACCAGCTGTCCATCGGCGTGTTGCTGGATTCGCACGGGCAAGTCGCAAACCACGTGGGCGTCATGTGCGAGGTCAACCAGATGCCACCCGCGGTCTTCCACCGCCTGTTGCACAGGTGAACAGACATGACGCATTTCATCGAGGAATAGCTCTTGCACTCGGTCACACTAGCTCCTTCTTGTCTGACGGGTATCATTTTCTTCCCAATGGTGATTCGTTTTGATCTCTTTCGTGTTTGTCGGAGCTTGTCTTTCCTCTTTAGTCCCCTCGTTCGCCGAACGAAGGCTGACCAGGCTCCTCTGAGTGAACATCAAATCCCAGAGCCATCGACCGACAGACATCACGTATCTATGGCAGTGGCTTCCTGTACGGCTGCGTGTTCCCAACGCACTTTCTGGCCCAACGGCGCCATCGTCATCGCGGAGGCGATCCTTCACACACCAATTCGCGTGTGCCCTCCCTTGTATTTCGAAGAGCGTCAGATATGCACGACCCCGTGTCTCGCACGAGCCTGAATTTCTTCGCCTCTCAAAATGTATCCCTTCAATCGGTTTCGCGTCGTATCGCTGCATGAAGCCTGCTGTGTCATGCAATCGTTTGTACCGATATGGTTCGGCAGTCAGTACGTGTGATCCATTCGTCTCGACCCCCACCCACGTACACACGCACGCACGCATCGTTTTAAGCGCTCTCTCGGTCTTTGTCGCGCCCCCCTCCCTCCACTCTTGCGTTGCCCCTAGGGTACCCCTGCCAGAGAGCCTTCTGCACGACGACTCGGACTCCGATAGCGACGGACACGACAACCACCGCGTCTCGCGCGCCGAGGTTGCGGCGGGTTCTGCGGGTCACTCGTCGTCGACCGGCGGCACCGGCGGCCGTGCCCGCGCTTCCTCGGTCTCCGGGGACGTTCCCGACAAGGGGGCGGCGGCGGCGGCGGCGGCTTCCTCGAGGATTGTAGATCGACTGCACCGAACCCGCGCGGCGGCGGCGATCTGCAACAACAAGAATGGCCCCGCTGCTTCGTCTTGAGATGCGACGAATCAGGGGCGAGGGGGAGAGGGTTCCCTTTCTTTTATCATGGAGGAGGAGGAGGAGGAGGGGTGGTTTTGGCTAAGTAAAAAATGTGTAGGCGGCGAGAAAACTTGTTGTCTCGCTTGCCATCCTTCTGGCGTGCACTACACGCATGGCAGAGTCGCACCCCCTCTTCTTCTGGAACCAGGGTGGGGAGGGGCTTCGTCCTACGAAGTATATTTACTGCACACAAGTCAGTTATTGTTTTGTCGGTGCACAACTGTTCCATGCAGGGGAGCAAGGTCTCGGGGGGTGATGACGATCATAGCTAGAACTCTCGGTACGTCGTTGGCGCAGCAGTAGGTTCGACTATAAGGCCACTGCCGTTGGGGGGGGGTGTTTGAATACATGCATGCGTTTGTTTGACTTAGCACACAACTTGCCACTGCCGGAGGTTTGAAGTTTTTTTTTGTTGTGGAGGGTTTTCGATTCTTGGCGGCCGGGGTATGGCAATCCCGAACCCTCCTAGACGGTCTGTACATACTGTTTTTGTCAGTAGTGCTGCCTTCAGGCATGCATCATGTCAACCGGTGTCCCTCCGTTGCCTGCCCCTTTCGACAACGAGTTTGTCGTAGAAATCGAACAGCAAGGGAGGGAGAGGATTAGTAGCAACGGTGGTAATGGTCGTGGTGGTAAATGAAAGTACCACAGCGTTTTTCGTGTGTGCGTGCGTGTGATGTGCTCGTCTTTTCCCTCTGCTCTGTTGTGGCGGTCGGCTAACGCGACGCTCGAAGGGTCCTGCGGTGCTTTTTTCTTTTTTCTTGTTGTTTTCCTATGAGGAACCCTAAGCATCATCACTAACATCTCCCTGACAAAGTGGTTGTGTCCCCTTTTCGCCTCGAGGATGGATTGAGTGGGGAGAAACCGCCGTGTTTCACGTTTCGACTTCCTCGCGCATGTAAATTAGCGAAGGTGCGGAGTAGAGACGCGAGGCGGCGAAACGCCGCGTAGCTCTTCTTGCGTCGTTAGGTGTATTCTTTGGCAGAAGAAGTGAGTAGGATTTGACGCAAGCGCTCGAGGTGGCGTCACAGGCGCCCGAATACCCTCTTCGAGTAATGCTTAATTAATATACATCTATAGACCTTTCCCCCGGGGGGTGGGATGCTGGTGGGTTCGGCGGCGTAAGCCGGATCCATACAAGTGGATATGTTTTATGTAATTGTTTGCATGCGGGTTTGACGGTACGAGGTCTCACTGTTCGTACTATTATGAAGGTGGGGGGGGGGGCGGGGGGGTACTCATAGTCGTGCATGCCGTAGTCGTTAGACCATTGACCTCGCATCCCTACAAAGCCGGGACGGAGCACGCCGGGTTCTCACCGGACCAGGCTCTCACATCACCAAGCGCGAAGCGCCGTGAGATATTCGGCGAGTCGCATGAAGGGTGCGCTGCATCCTGCTAAGGGTGTTCGGCATCTTGTGCTTACTTCCTTGCGTACGGATGACAGCTGCGTATGAATTAATTTATTTTCTGGTGCTTTCACTTCCAGAGACAGTTGTAAGCACTGTGTAACTGCCTCGAGGGTGCTTGACCATTTTAACACAACGTGGTGCGATCATCCCCCTTGCGCGGAGTGAGGATTCTCCACCACGCAGGGTTCTCCACCCCGCACAACATAATCTACTCGACCACCATTATGGCTACCGCCAAAAAAAAAACGGAGGAAAAAAAAAAACGGCAACCTGCTTGCCGAATTCGCGAAGTAAATTGGCTTGTTTTACAACGTCGTTGCCAAGCGACGAAAACC